GTGTGGTCACAGGAGCACAAGCAACCCATAACAGTACGGTGTAGTAAGACACTATGCTGTCCTAGGCTGGAAAAGAAGGAGATGGCAAAAAGAATTACGAACCAAGAATTCACAGAAGTAATGCCACAGAGTCAGAGACCAGCATTTTTAATATCCTTTGTCAGGCTATATGGCCAGGACCCAGATTTCAGACAATAGTTTCTTGTATACTATTGCCAGACATGCTCTAACAATGGACCCTTTCTATTTTCTGATTAAGATCTCCCCTTTCCAACAAAAGTTACAAAAATGCTCTAAGAGATGCCTTTGCAGGAGTGGTTACGTGGATCACTGGCAATACGGATGGACTCCCAGCACATGTGCCCACACGCACGTACAGAGCAGGACCATTCCAATGCAGGACCGAGCAGCAAGACTTAGTCACAGATGCTCATGTTAACCAGAGGTCAGAACAAAATATTTTTGGACACAGACTTTTATTCTAAATATTTAGCACAGTGCCAATGAACAATGCAATGAGCCTTCATGTGCTTCCAAATAATGTTATAAAGAAGATATTTTTACTTACACGCAACAGAAGAAAGTTTATATCCAGATTTTAAGCATGCAGGAAACCTGGGCCTACCTCACTACTCAGGTAGGCTACCAGTATCCTACCTTTTGACTGTAGGGTTCAGAAAAGCCTCATATAACTGTCAAGAATTAAAGTGGACTTCATATAAATTTTGTGAAAACTAAAATACAATTCCATTACATGAACTTCATCAAAAGTAATTATTTATTTATTTTTTTATCAGATTTCATTGGCATCACAAAACAGCACACATTATTGCTAAAAGATACTGGCAGCTTACAATAGACTAAAAAGGTGCAACAAATAAAGCAAAACCAGACTACTTGTAAAACCATACTAAGAGAAACACAAAAGGTCAACATCATGCAGTCAAGGAAAATGTACCCTAACAATCAAATCAAATACAAATAATTCAGGATATCATTTTGACTATGAAAGGAATTTTTTAAAGAGCTACTGATTTATCAGCGTACCACCACTGCATTCAACTGGGCTAGCACAGTTGATACCACCTGTAGTTCTCCCTCCACCTTTTTATTTTTCTGAACACACCCACATGATATCCTTCAATTAGATAAATAAGCAGATAAAAACTTTACAGGTATTTTACGTCATCTTCTTCCTGTTAAGCAAAACAGAACAGCAGCCAAGTGATGAGACACATCTGCTCCCAGCACAGTTAAACAGATAGCATTAGCCAATACCGACTTCCACCATAACATTAACAGACTTCCATACCGAAAAATTACAAAGGATCTTTTCCCTGCATTGCTCTCCAAAGACCTCCTCAAAGACCTTATCAAAGATAGAGCAAGCATACTCTATCAATAATGCAATACAGCTCCACCTTGCACTTTATCTGAATTTGTCCATAGTCCTTTCACCATGAGGTGTTTTCATAGTTTCACAGAAAGCTCTTGCTCCAGGTTATTTTGTGGAATTTTGCCTAAAACTTTACAGTGAAGAGAAGAAACTGGTGAAAAACATTTACTATATTAATTTGGGAAGAAAGGTAGCGATTATTTTTTTTCCTCAGCTATAGAATAAAAATAGATCTTTAAAAAAAAATCAGTTGTTCTAAACTAATGTCATAAAAAAGTAGGATTACTGGCACCAAATGCACTTATGAGAAACACATCTTTAAAGACTTTTGCTATTTATATTGACAGAAACAAAATTAGTTATATTACTTTCTAGTTACTTTCCAGACCATTGAGTCAAAGAAGGATTACACTTGTGTTACCTACTGTACCACCACACTGATCTAGTTTCTAAGCACTGAGACTGTGTACAGAACAGTCTGCAAAGCTAATAGGAGCCTGTCATCAGTATTTCTTGTGTAAGCAGCTATTGGGGCATTAAACTGCTATTTGCAAGTAACTGTGCTTGGTTTGAAGTGTGCGGATTGCACAGTACCTTTTTAATTGCATACATAGATTAATTAGGATAGCTGTCAGTTCTTGCATGGTGCCAAAGACCCTTGGCCTCTAACACCTGTCTTTTCAAACACTTTTATCTGTTTAAACAACACACAACTGTTACAAATATCCCTTTCCCAGCAAGGGGATTGATTCACACCACTAATGAGTAGACAATGTTCTTCTGCTCCTTGGTGATGCACTACTACTGCCACTACCTAGGTCCTCTCAGAGCCAGAGGTAACACTCTCACTGACCTTAGTGGAAAGATGACTGACTGCTCCTTCACTTGCTTTACACAAGTACTTATTTCAGCTCATTTCTGCAGTATTTTTATGCTTTCCAGTACTACATTCAAGGCATGAATGCTTGACATATGGTGGCTTGCTTTTCCTCTCTTTCCTTCTAAGATGATGAACAGTGTGTCAGAAGGTAGTTGTCTGCCCCAAGCACACACATGTAAAGCCAAAGTCTCAATTCAGGTAAATCAGTGCTAAATTCACCAGGGTAAGTATCAGCTTTGGAATCTATTCACCAATCGTGAGCTAACACGACCTCACCAAATTCTGCTTTCAATGACATTTGTGGTTTGGAAGTGTTTTACAATGTGGTCCATCGGAACTGCTCTTTCAATGGTCATACCATGAACACAGGGAGATCTAGAAAAAGGAGAAAAATAAAACAGGGTAAACTTTGCAGATTGTCAGCAAGGACAGGCTGTAAGCTTGTCGAAGTGGGCTCAGCTGTCATCATGTGCCAGTTCATGCCTCCCTACCTCCTCCCAACCCTGAGAAACAAAGCAGCAAAGCAGCAGTAAGGAAAACACATTCAACAAAATAAATGCAATAGAGAGGGGAATATTAATACATCTGGAAGAAATAAAGTTTTCAGAAGTGACTACCAATTTAGATTCATCTGTTTCTGGGCATTCAGCTAGGGGTATTTTAAACAGTCAAGATTTCAGGAACTGCTGTACACCCAAATATAAAATTGGCACCTTGGAAAAGATCTCAAATTAACCAACAAATAATAGCAAAAGGATTCATGTAATTGGTTTGTTGGTTTTGGTTGCTTGGGTTTTTTTTATACATACCGCTACTATTAACAGTCTGCTTGATCCAGTCAACAAAAACACCAACATTTGTGTATACTCCTGGGTAGCTTTTCCTTCCACATCCCAAACCCCAGCTGGTGATTCCATGAAGGGTGTAAAATCCCGAGTTATCTTCTGAAGGACAAACTAATGGGCCACCAGAATCACCCTGCACAAGGATAAAGGAATCTCATTATGAGATAACATCACTCCTTAAGTTTTTAAAATATCATCCAGCTACGAGGTACCAGCTACTTATATGTTTGAGGTTTTCTGTTTTTAAAAGACAGAGGAAGAAATAACCTTTGTTCAAGGGAAGTACCTCTTTTTTGCAATATGAGTAATTAACATCCTACTGCTAAGGAGTGTTTCACTGTAAATCACCTACAGCCTGTTTGCAAGAAAACAGCTTAGTAAGGTTTTAACACTCCCCTTTTCAGAACCCATCTGAACCCTTATCTGGCCATACCCCAAGTGTCAGAAGGCAAAGGTGATGCACCCCACTTACTGTGCACAAGTCCTTGCCTTCTTCCAGAGGAAATCCAGCACAGATCATCCTCTGGGTCACTTTACTGGGAAGGTGTACGTAGTAGCTCTGACATGCATCAAGCACCAGGATGGGAACTTCCAGCTGATGCAGTTTTTTCCCCTTTTCTCTGTCTTGAAGTAAAAGACACACCAGAAACCAGTAAAGGCATGAATTAGTGATTTCAGAAAGAAGCTTTACTTTTCCCATTTTAAAATTATCTCAATCTGAATTATATTATTTCTTTCCTCCCACCCATTTCCCTCCATGTTTAGCTGAGCTTACAGAAGTGAAAAATTTTAACACATCTGTTCTCCTAAAACTAATGTGTAGACAGAATGAATGTTACAACAGAGAATGTAGTATTTAAAACACAGCTACAGCGTGCTCTACCTTCAGAATGGCAAAGACTGCATACCTTCTTCACGTGCACCCCATCCGGTGACAACGCAGACCCTGGAGGGCTGAAGCACCTCCTCCTTGGCAGGGAGGCACACTGGGCGCACGTAGCGGTTGAACTCTAAGGGCTCAGCCAGTTGCAGTAAGGCGATATCAGAGTCCATAGTGGTCTTGTTAAAACCTGGATGGATAATGTACTGCTTTACTGACCTTTTCTAGGAAAGCAAGGACATGGATGTTTTCTGAATGACTTGGAAATATGACTCTTTAAGTCACTTTGGTTTTATAAATTTTCAGGCCACGTTCAAGATACCTTAAGAGAAGGAAACATTTAAAAGCAGTGACTGAAGTTACCAGATTTCTTATATTAAGAAGTCAAAATTATACCTCTTGGATATGGATCAGGGAACATAGAGGAAACTTCATCTAGCAAGTGTAGAGAAAGGGTCTTGGAAAAACATTTGTGCAGCCTGAACAAAGTAGAAAGTTGTGCCCAAATTATTCCTGTCTTGGTAATAGTAACCAGGGAATTTAGAGACAATACCTCCCCACTCACACCTCCTCCAGAACACTGAGCTTTGGGGTTCATTACTGGGGAAGGCACAGGTCAATGTTGATACAGTTTCTCTGAGAGTCACACAAAAGCTCCTGTGTAAATGCAGATTAGGGTCAGCATGCAGGCTGTTAGGTTGCTGCATCATGAACAATTTGGGAGGTGCATTTACTGTAAAAACTATTTTGCAAGTTTTATTTATATTTTATTATTAAGCAGAGCTTACAGTACCTGTTTGTATTCTTGCTCTCCAAGATCATGAAGTCCTGTTACCACCATCCATAAGTCTCTGTACAGTTCCCTTAAAAAAAAGTAGGGTATATGCTTAGGCTGATGTAACAGCATTCTTGAAACCTGGGAATCTTAAACTTGCCCCCACTCAAAATAGATACTAGGACCCTACAAATTCCTAGGCCAACAACTCTTGAGGCCCATACTCCCATTCAAATCTATGGAAATCTTCCCATTGCCTTCTAGGGAGCATGTAATAATATTCTTATGATGGTGAAGCAGGATCTCTTAAACACATAGTGAACTGAGAGGAAGGTCACTTTTATATGGACTGAGAGTGTCGGATGCAGAACACAGGGTCTGCATGGTCCACATGATCCAGGAACAGTGCTGGTCCCATTAAATTATATAAAGAAATGCAACAGAAACATTTTATTTCACCGTCAGTTTCTTAACCAAACCCTCTCAACTCCCTGAAAATGTCTTATCTCCCTGATGAAATTGTTCAGTTGTGCAGCATCGTTCATCCATTTATGTAAATTTGAGACAGAATTTTAGAGTCAGTTCTCTGTTGGGAAAACTGTGATTCTGTAAGGAGTACAACACTCTATTTCATGGGAACAAAGTGATAACACTTTGTTATAGTTTTTCAGCTGATGCTGGTATGCAGGTTGCCACAGCGATCAAAGTCTTTAATAGTTTTGAGTCAGCAAGGTGCAGAAGCTAGGAGGAATGAAAGCCAGGGCAGATGACCAAAGCTGACCAATTAAAACTATTCTATGCCATAAACTTCACATTGACTATAAATTGAGGAGTTTGTGAGGGATGGCCCTCCTTCTTTCTCTCTCTTCTTCCCTCTTCCTCCGCTGACATCTCGAGAGGGACTTGTTTACCATCCCACCCCTGACATCCACTCCCCCACAATATTGGCTGAGTATAACTCTATGTACTTTATATTAACATTGTTATTAATATTAATTTTTGTTATTATTTTATTAAATATATTTCTATTTCAACCCATGAATCTCCTTTCCTTTTCCCGACCCCCCTCCATGGGTGGGGAGGAGACATCAGGTGATAGAGCAACTGTATAAACCACAACATCCTGGCATAAAATTTTGCAAACTAGTATTTAGAAACTCAGAAGGCAAAGTCCAAAATTCAAAAGAGCACTTGCATTTCAGATATGCAGCTTTGTGTGGGTAGGGAAGAGAATCAAATAAATGGAGAATATATAGATGTCAAGGCATTTTTGGCATTCAAGGCTTTTGAAAGCCTACCCTCATTTTCAACTAATTGCAACTTTATTTGAAAACAGGCCTGAAATACCTAAATATCAAAGCAATCCTGGGAGGATTTTAAAAAAATATTTTAATGACTCAAGGTTTGTAAATTTTAAATTAATATATTTGTGATTGATTTGAAATTCAGAACAATCCAGTAGTGTTCAGACTAGGAGATGAATCAAGAAATTCAATTTTATAAAGTATTTTAAAGAGTCCAATAGTCACACAGGCTATCCTTTTGGCTCCTCTCAATAAGAACAGAAAAATTTCCATGTAATCTGATTTAACAGATTGATAGCTTCTTAATAAGTGTATGGCAACAACCCTGTGCACAAAACCCTCCTGTATGTCCTCCAGAATCTATACAAATTCAGTAATTTTTGAATTTGTGGATAGGTTGATTCTGCCTGATGAAAACATGCTCTGTAAATGACCCAACCACAAAGAAGTTACTTAGGAGTAAGTGATGGATGACAAGAGACTTAGTATTTTGCCATCTCTTCTGAAAACACATCTGAATGAAAACCAAGCCTGCAGACGCAGGCTACTTACTTCCTAAGTAGCTGCTGTGATCCTGGTACGTGTGTGTGGAGCAAAAGAATCTTATGCCAGAGTGAGCTGCAAGGAGGTAGTAACCAAAACTATGCCAGGCACCCTGGGCAGAACCACCCCACTGCAGAGACACACTGTGCCATTACAAATGATCCTGCGGATGGGTTCATCCCCATATACTTACTTAGAGGTAAAGCATTGAGCAGCTGTGACAACCCATTCTTTGGCCAGAACCGCTCCTCCACAGATGTGCTCATCTGAAATTTGTACACTGACCTGCCAAGGCCATGAGTATGGTACAACTTCTTCACCTCCAATTATCCTACTGAAGATGAACCTGGGCTGATTTGAAGGCATCCCACAAATATCATCTGAAATGGACAATACTGATGTCTGAAGAAGTCTTTATAGGTAAAAATTTTGAGAAGCAAAAAACAGCCTGTTTAAGAGCTAACCCATAAATTCTCAGGCTTTCCCTCTCCCTTTTTTCCTAAATCTTTCAAATTCCCTCATTCCAAAGAATCCAAATGTTTAGAGATAACATGAGGAGATTATGTTAGCAAAAACAGAGCTTCACCAAAATGAAAGCAACTGTTTACCTTCAAAAGTTTTAGCCTCAAACCTGTAACGAATATGGACTCATCTCATTCTCCATAAAGTACTGGAGGGAAAAAGGGAAGCTCTAAAATGCTGGTTACTATTTTCAACTATCCTGTACTCTTTGCAATTATTTTCACCAAAGCAGGCAGGTGTGAACTGACATAGAATCTGAAATAGCATCATTGCTTTGCTGTAAATGACTTAACAAGATGGAGGGAACAAGAAAAAAAAACACGTTCTGCTATTCTAAATCTAAAGCATAGAAGTGTTACTATTCGTCTTTTTATTTCCTCAGAAAAACTTAATGAAAAATTCTGGGACAACTCAGACTGCATCCATTAAATATATAGAGAAAACACTTAAATTATAGTTCACAAGGTACTCCCTGTTCCCATGAAGAAAATATAACTTGAGTTGTCTTACCTGTTGTAACTTTTATTTCTTCTTCAGTCATATCCATATCTTTATATTCTTCACTAGTTGAATTCAAAGTGTCTAAATCTAGCAAATAAAAATAGCAAATGCGCTAGTAGGCTGTCTTGAGTTGTATTGTTACTACAAATTTGTATTTCCTTTATCATCACTTTTATAGAAGGAATAGTTTTCTACAGTAGAGACTGATGCCATTACATCTTCACATAGTGGTAAAAGTGTCATTTAAAATGCAACAAAGTACTCTTACACAAAAAAAACTCTGAGGTTTTGGGTAGATTCACTGTTTCTCTTCGCCCACTCAATAGGTCCTTTGTTTAATGCCTACATAGGTGCACAATACAGTTTTTTCACGGAAACAATTTCCTAGATGAGAATCTCCTACAGCAGAATAATTCTGAATAGCCAGATTCACTGAAGAGCCCTTTGTGGTGCCTCACAAGTTACTTCTATTACCTGTCACATGAACAAAAGTGACGGTAGCTCTGAATCCTCCCAAAGGTCTCTGTTTCATCAGTGCGAAAGACAACCAACATCATAGCAGAGGAGCTTAGAATGGGTGCTGGTAGGGCAAATCCACAAGACTTGGCTAAAGACAAGGAAACAAAGGTGCACTGCAGATTAACATGCACTTTTTCATCCTTATCTCTTCAGCAGTGGGTACCCAATATTCTGTGCATTTTATCTTTCACACCAAAGGGTAAAAACTAACTATGCACAAGAGAGGAGTAGAGATAAGCAGACTGAGGCTGAAGGACTGTTGTATCATTCCTGTCTGTCCTTGTTCAGTTATTATCTCATAAGAACAAGGACACTCTCGCATTATTTCAAAAGAGACTGTTGTAGCGCTCATGCTCATAGGCTGCCATTACATATAGAACACAATGGAAACTTAATTTCCCCTTGTTAGTGTTTCAGCACTAGCATCTGCAAGTGCTAATCTAAACACCAGCATCAGCAAGTGCCAAAATCAGTTGACTGGGACATGTATTCTTCTCCTTCGAAGTAAGCCAGGAGAATCTTCAGCAAGGTGGCAAGAATTACATGAATACACATCTGGAGTGAAGAACAACTGGGCTCTGAAAAGGAGACCTCTTGGATGCTTTCTGTGTCTGATCATTGCTGTAAAAACAGATGATTGTTTTATGCCCTTTTCTTCATTTGCAGGAATTCAGAACTGCATGTCATATAGAATTTAAATACACTAAACTGTTCTGTTCAATGTGGTTTTGCCTCTGTAAGTGGAACAGAAGCAGCAATACCTGTAGGTATTTTTCAAGGTACTGGAATACCTATAACATCACCCGAGACTCTAGAGTTCAGGATCAAAAATCAAGATAAAATGTCAAGGTAAAATCAAGAGAGACTCTTGGGTTTAGGCTATAAAACAGGGCTAGTGAACATCATAAAATAAATAGTTCATCCCCAAAATATGTGAAAAATCAAAAGTCAGACCAATTTCCTCCTTTTTTCCCACATCTTCATACACAGCCATGGCATCGTAAGAGCAATCTTCACTCTCTTCTACTTCAAAAAACTGGTATGTAAGCTATAAATAAAAAATGAAAAAGCGAACCTTGTTGTTAAATTCACACAGAAAAAAAATCAAAGATCATAATAGGATCTTTCGTATTGTCAATGATTGCTTTAGGATGTGATTTCTGTGACATTCAGACCTCTCCCAGGTGATTCATAGCTTATTAGATTTGCTCTTATGATAAAATTTAAACCAGGAAACCCTATTTTACTATAAAGGAGAAATCAAAAACTATCTAAGCTTCTGGGGTGGAAAGTGATTTCTCTTAACTGCGTTCAGCAGCATTACTCAGGCTTATGCTGCATGATCTTGCTTGTCCTTAGCTGTGCAATTTCTCGTTAACTCAATGGTGCCCACTTCCATTCTGTAGAAACAAGAAGGGCTCATATCATACCTTGATTATGTGGTCCTCTGGCGCACAGATAATCCATTGACAGCGTGCCATGTTGCTGTAGTGCTCTGGATAGTGCATACTTTGTAACACTCCTTCTTCAAAAAGGACAGCTAAGAACTCACAGCCAGAATCTAAGAGTCCAGAAAAATAAAAATGGAGGCATTGTGATTTCCTATTAAATCATTCACAAAAAAATCCAGAGTTCCACCTGTGGTGCTTTGATACAGCTGAGAGAGAGAACAGGACAAGAGTAACAAGCCAGATCCTTCTGTCTGAAAAAGATGTAAAGAAAAAATTTAATCTGTTCCCAGGCAGAAGAGCAATTCAATCCATGACTATCGCACTCCCCCTTGGCTACATGTGGTGCACTGCAGCCACGGGTACCTGTGTGCGGGGACAGAAGAGCAGGGCACAGGCACGTCAGGTGAACATTTGCCAGCTTTCTTTGGCAATGAAAGTGAAGACATAAAACACAACCAGCGGATATGTTTTCCTGATGGGCTACACAGTGGCAAGGCCCCTCAGAAGGGGTCCCTCCCTACACTCTGCCCTTACACTCTGCAGAGGAAAGAAGCCAGTTGGAAAAGCTGCAGAACCAGGAACAGCAGACATCTGTCTCTAACAGGATTACCCAGACTCAGCAGACAGCCCTTGGGCCTGCTCCCTAGACCTGGTAAACTGCTCTGCACAGCAAAACCAAAAGCAATACTCCACTACATATTTTTTAGCATTAGCTGCCTCCCTCAGGGGCCCTCCAGGAAAGCACACCTGGGACTAGCAAAGCAGCTTTCATCTGAAAATTCTGCTAATTTGACTAATCTTATTAAGTTCTAAAATGTTCTGGAAGGAAATGAGATTGTGCATAAAGTGGATGGAGAAGAGGGAAAGGTGAAGGAGGGCTTCTCTCAGCTGCATCTCAGCAGCTATCTCTTTCTGGCATCCCAGTTTCTCCACAATGTCACACAGCAGCATAAGCACACTTACCTTGTTCATAACATCATCCACAAAGAAAAATCATGGTAACTTCTTCTGATTTACTTTGTCCTGAAAAGTTTCAGGCCACCACTCAATAATGCAGGCAGATATATTACTAGACTTAGACTTACCAGGAAGAATATCTGGTATAAGAGCTTTGTAGGTCATGGAAAAACCAGTTCCATAATCCTTGTTGTCAGATACAAATTTCAGTCTTATACTATTGGAGCCAATCAAAATAGGTAATGGAAGATCTTCTCCACAGAATTTCCATGAAATACAATATTAGAGAATAATCACCATTTAAAGTCACTTTAGTATGCTTGCTTGTACCATTTTAAGTACTTGGCTATACAAATCTAAGGATGAAAAGGAAATTGCTTATCCGTTCCTCTATATTGTCTATTAATCCATTAGCCAAATAAAAGATGCACACTATTAAAAATTGAAAATCCTCAACACCAGCAAGTCATATGATGACACAGTTCCCCATCAGGCGTTTTCCCTTCTTTTGCCTCCCACTCTCTTTCTCTTTTATTTTAGATCATATGTCAAAATATATACATCATGAAAATGTAAGGAAAAGTAATCAACCACAATGTCCTCGCTGGGCATACTTGCCATTAGATTGAATGAGTACGTTGACATTATTTCAAAAAAATAAAAGGACAGCAACTCACCAACAAGTCTGTCATCTTTTGAATAGACTGATAAAGAATCATAGTCACAAAATGTTTCTGGCTCTATATCAAAGTGGGGGAAATGAAGCAATATATAGTTCCCTTCTGGTACAAATAGAGTCCATATACACAATCTGGAACAACAGATTAGTTCGTGTTCACAAAACTGCAACAAAAAAAACCCCAAACCACAACTACACCAGTACCAGGAGTAGTTTCTGGGGAAGGACTGTGTTTTGTTTACTTACTGGTGGTTTTGATAGAACTGTTTGGGACTTCCAGGAAAATGTAATTGTCCTTCACCATCAGGGAGTTTGCCATCCTGAATGCTACAAAATGCTGCATTGTAGAGTTAAAACAAAATAGGATTTTGTTAGGATCAGGTTTGCATATGCAATCATCTGTTGCACCAAAATTTCAAATATCTAGAGAATATTGCGAGACTCAAGATTACTCAGCTGTACCTCAGCTGCTGGCAGATTGGTGCTGGGTCTTCTCTCTTTTATTTAGATTTATGGTAAGTCAGTTTTAAAACAAATTATTTGGGAGAAAAAAAATCAAGCCCTGCCAGTGCACTGTCATATTTTATTGTAAAATTGGCAGTGCTTGCTTTTTACCTTACTGAAACTATTTGTTAAATGAGGACTTCAGTATATTTTTCAGGGAGGAAAAATGCATACCTCAGGACATAAGAAAAGTGTTCAATGCAGCCCATTTGTAATAATGTCCTTAGTTATGTTACAGTGGAAGACTTTTTTAACAGTATAATATAGTATTGAAGACACTTTAATAGAAGAAACAGAAGCTTTCCTCTCCAGATAAGTGTACTAGAAACACAATTACTTACAAAAATTATCTCCTCTTGCCTTTCCTTCTTGCCAGGTAAGCCAGTAAGACCTTAATCAACAACTATGTATATAAAAATAAATTTAAGGAGTCATGTACTTACAAGATTATCTTACCTGAAGCATTCTAGGAAGACCAATACAAAATTTCAAAAAGACACAAGCAACACTTACATACCCAGTTCTCACTGGCCACAGCAAGTCTATACAAAGTGACCTTGCGCTCAGGCTTGTTTATCATCTGAGGAATCTCACTCTAGATTACTAAAATTAAAAGTTTAAGATTCAGTTCACAAGAGCTGTTCCTAGTATCTCTATGTGAACTTGTACCTAGATGAACAGAGCACCCAACAAGAACATAAACATGGCAGAATCAAAGTAAGGATTCAACTTTAAAACATGTTATAGTCAAGGCTGGGTTTCGTGGTTTGTTGGGTTTGGTTTTGTGTGTGCATGTGGTTTGTTTTGTTTTGTTCTCATTCTATTCAGAGAAATAGACATCAGGCAAGGAAATAGTTTTATCATAGACTGCATAAAAGTATTACAATTTACATCATACTTTCTACTTAGAATCTATGTTTATAGAGAATCAACCTCACTAACCAGATTACACACATTGCATGAGGTTCTGTTCTACTTTTTTCCCATTAATTTTGTTTGTATTTCAATAAAATATGGTTTTGTATATGTAGCTGTCTTAAGGAAAATTCCTTTTTGAAGTCACCAGTACATAAGTACAACCCTACATAAGTATTTTTTTTTTCTTTTACAGAACCAGAAGGTTTATATTTAAAGTATACATTTAAATGTGCTTTGATGAGTCAAGCTTCTTCACGTTTCTTCCTCCAAAGATTATATATCAGACTATTTTGGGGGTATTTTATGCTCCAACAGATAGAAGATACTGAAAAATACTGTACTCACCTGTGGAGCTTTTCATTTTCAGATCTAATAAAGGAGAGATAGGGAGGAAGGTAGAAAAAGAAGAATAAATGACTGTAGTTTCATGTTCACAATGTAGGCTTTATTTTAATCCTTGTGAAATGGCAATTTTATACAGCTAGCACTGAGGCAAATTCAAATGCTTCTACAATAAACTAGGCCTGGAATTAGAACAAAATTGCAAGTTCAGGCAATGTTGACTTTGGAATAAACAGTTCTGGAGTAGCCACTTCTAGAATTAATCATACACTGAGAGGCCGTGGCTCAGTCTGTGCAGCGCAGTACTCTTTTTCTGTGTACTTGTTGAGTAAACACTATACATCTCAGGTAAGGGTAGCAGAACCCAACTGCCATCGTCACATCAAGGACACAGAGACATGAAGCCTGACAGCAGTTATAGTTGAGATCTTTTGCACCAGTGTGATTTTGCACCAAGCAAAACCCAGTGCAATGCAATTGACAATTGTGTTTTCACTGTACCTACCAAATTGCTTTTTCTGTTCATTAGGGGCCAACACACTTTAATTACCACAATGGCTAATCACATTCTTTTTTCCTGATAATGAAATGGGCCAACCAGTAAACTGTTAATTAAAAGTCCCTTTCTCTCTTTTCTTTATTTTTTTTTTATTTTGAAAAACAAAATATTTTTCAGAGCTAAACCCTTTTCATTTTGCTCCGACATTATAAGGGTTTTCGTTTTCAATTACCAGTTGAAGCAGGTTTCTAACAGGAATGTTTTTGTTTTTTTCCCCCTCTCCATTTTTTTTTTTTATAATTGACTAGCAAAACCTCTAAAGACCCCTCCTTAGTGCACTGCATGAATTTTACACAATCTCCAATACCTTTTAATGAAAATAACCCAAACTGGAAGAAAATACTAATTCAATTTCTTAATGCTCTGAGTGAAGTTCACCCCTGGGCAGACTGCTGTTTATATCTACAGCTCCATGACTTTGGAAGTGATGGATAATTTTCATGCTGTTTCCCTGGACAGAGGGCACATGTAGCCTTTTGTTCAGAGTAAGCAAAACACTTCTGAGAGTGTAACTTTTCCCCTTGTAGTCAAATGTCTGATCCAACATGTTTTAGCTGAGAAAAATGAAAAGTGACTTCAAAGAGGCACGTATGAGATTTCAGACATTTTCAACTGGTGCATTTCTACTTAAAACAATAACACCAGGCTAATTGGCTAGCTGGATAAAAGGACCATTCCTAAAGTTTTTAAAAAATTTATACGTATATAAGTACACTCAAACATACAGTACAAGTGGAAGGCAAAGCAGAAGAGAAGCAAACATTTACAATGCTCTCAATTTGTTTTTGGCAACTGCCGATCAGTACCAAATACCTAAAGTCATTGTGAAATGCCATAGTGCTATGCCAGGAAAAATGAGACAAATATAAGTACTATATATTGAAAAAATTAAATGAAACATTATTATGAGACAGCAGTGTTGTCACAAGTGAGGGACGCATTGCTGTGGAGACTCAATACCAGCACTCATATTCTCTTGAATCCAGGAAAGCACTGCACTGAGGTCCGTGAATATTCCCGGAGATCCTCTTTCGTAGTGTTTCTTCTTCTCATTACCTCTCCAGCCGCGAGCACACCCCATCCCCCAGGAGACCACACCAGCCAGAGTCCAGGCACCGTGCTTACGGCGGCACGAAAGGGGGCCTCCCGAGTCTCCCTGTAAAATAAAAGTAAAAACCCACAAGCCACAGCTTACAAAAGTCCATGCATACCACTGAGCAAGCCGTGGAGAGGTTACTGTTCTCTTTTGTGCCATACTAACAAACCTGCAATGTAGGGAATAGGAATTTAGAAAAAGCTGCGAGGAAAGACACTTTCTTTATTATTGTGAAGTCAGGACTGTCGAGAGGGGAGAGACAGACTAATTCCCCTCATGGGTGCACTTCTGTTGTGTTTTAGCATGTAAAAAGGAGTGAGGAGCTATTTTCTTCACCCCCATGACAAGGAACAATCACTTAACCTTTATCTCACTTCCTTTCCTTCCTGCAATCCAAAGCAATCCTTTCTACTTTCATCCTTAGGATCTTAGCAACATTAACTAATTAATTCATCAACCGTTCTGAAGTTACACTGCCTTAAACATTATTGCACTGGGATACGTTGTAAAATCGCTCTCAAGAACTTGTCATGCCACTCATACAATAATTAAAACGTAATCTTGCAATTAAGTGCATTGCCCCATTACAGAACCTTTGAAAGAATTCACACATCTAAATAAACGCACTCCAAATATTGTCTTTTATAGTGTATTTACTCATTTAGTCACACAGAGTCTTGAGCTTCTGCGGAACACCTGTAAGTGCACAGGCCCCTCTGCCCAGCTGACCTGGCAGGCGTCCTTTCCTCCGTCTGGAAATCCAGCACACATTATAGTGTCACCTTGGATGGGCTTCTCTAGAGTCGATAATGCTCTCGAACACTCCTTACTGTTTAGGATCGGCAGATTGACTTCATATAAGACCTGAGGGAGTACTCCATCTGAAATATAAAAAAAATTGTTCGTAAGAAATGCTGAAAGGTGAACTTAATGTCACTACTAATACACACACACAAGAAGGGTTGTAAACTTGCTCCAAGCCATTTTATGGGTACATAAGCATCCAGTTTTGTGTACATATGCAGTTTTACTTGAATAAATTAAAAAATGTTTCAAAACTGAAATACATGTCTGTATGTTGTAGCAATCCATTTAGAGATAATTCACAGGTCTTCATAGAAGCTAGCAAAGATCTCATTTTGAGATTACAACTCTTGCGACCAGTTGATGGTTTTTTTTCTGGTCTCCCTATGACCCAATCAAGCTCCTAGCTTCAAAAACTTGAATGTCAAGGAACAATTCAGGTGGCTTACTCTCATCCAAACGGCCCCAACCACAAGTAGTGCAGATATATCCAGCCTCAAATTTTTCACCTGGATCAGGAAGACATGCTGGCAAGACTGATGAACCTGCCACACACAGACATGAGTTTTATTGGTAAGTATTTGAAAGAACAACAATAAAAAGCTTCCTCAGTTTTTTATAAAACTAAAAGGCATTGGTATTTTTGTGTCGTCTGAAAAATTAGTCTGGCATTTGACAATTTATCTGTGCCTCCACTTTGTAGTGTTTCAGAATGGAAACAGAAAGCTGTGAGCACCAGCCCAGGCCTTGCCATTCAGCTTAAACTTATCTGCTATCATGATCCAAACTTCCAGTAAAAAAAGTAGTCACTCCCCTTCATGGTGGCAGAGGAAGAGCAACCCAGTGATGCGATTTTAATCTCCTGCATACAAAGAAAAATACCCTTTTCCTCAAGGGAGCATTAAGCCTGAGGAAGATAATTTAATTCAACTGATGTGTTTTTCTGACTAATCTCCAGTATTTTAAATACTTCAGTTGCAGAATACTCTGGAGATTTTTAGTGGTATAATTTGACAGCTGGGAAATGGATTTAAACTGAGTTTCAAGACTTTTTACAGCATCTGGGAGAAACAAAGGCCTTACCTTCCCCACCAAAAAAGATCACAGATAACTATGGCCTTACTGAAGTTGAAGGCTCCGTTCAGCTTCAGAAGGGCAACATCATAGTCCATTGGCCTCCTGGGGTCAAATTTTGGATGCTTAATGGCGTACTTGACAGGGAGCGTCTGCTCGCCATTCTCCCTGATCCTCAGATCATGCTCTCCTGCAGTGACATTCAAGTATTGGAGTAGGTTCCTGTAGAACAAAATTTAAATTTCTAAGTCCACATGATCCATTAGCATGAAGTTTCAGTATTAACTATAAAAGGAAATAGAATCTCAATGAAGTCACCTCAGAATTAGGACTGAAACCTTGCATACAATATTCACAGACCTCTTTTTGGGCTTTTTTTTTTAGCACTAAGGCTGAAAATCATCAGCATACAAGAGATCAGTACTATATCCATTCACCATTTAATTGCATATACTCTGCCAGTTGTTACTGTTAAAAAGAAGTATTGCAGTCACCTGATAATTATAGTTAGGTACAGATTTTTACCTACACTTCCAAAAAATCAGTCTCCACCAATCCCTGTAAGTTTATTTTATTGTTAATTATTATTGAGATGTTCAAGGATTTTGTTTTTTCTCCTACTTTGTTAAAATGTGGAACCTATTGGTTACAAATGAAAGAGCAGCATCTGCAAGTATTTACTATAAGAAGATGCTACAGCACACACACACTTCTACAGTCAATGTTTTTCTGCACCTGCAGCCTGCTCCTGAAACATCGCATCCATACCTGTCTAAGATGCAGTGAGCTGCCGTGACCACCCACTGGGCAGAAACAATGGTGCCTCCACAGAAATGCTGTTGCCTTCGCTTCAAGGAAACCTGCACATCAAATAAAGAAAATCTTGATATCTGCTCTGATTGCATTTGAGGAAGAAAGGAGAGAGCACATGCCAGTACTCTCTGAAGATTCACATAGCTAAAATACATGCTGTATTTCAAGCAAACACACTTTCACACCATTCTCACAGTCCTTGAGTCTAAGAGATCCTAAACCTTGATTTTGCCTTCAACTGTGACTTGGTACCTGGATAAAAGCAACATATAGGTAGCTAATGCCAAGACTCTGAGTACTCAGCATGCTGTAAAGGTTTCCAGTTAGTTGAGAGTTTTTCCTTTGCAGGTCACTAGGAGCACTGCAAACCCACGATGCCTGACAACAGCCGGAGGCTGGGGGCAGTGTCCTTCAAGATCCTTCTATTTTTCAGCAGTTTCACCCATGCCTCCTTACAATAGACTAATCTACAAATGCTCTTTTAGAAATAGTGATAAACAAAACAATAAATGGTAAGCAAAGGTTTATCAGAGAGCAGGACAGGTTCTGTGTCCTCTCTGTCTGCTTCACTGCTTTTCATAAAAGCAGAGTGGAGCTCAACAATACACCATAAGTATGCACAAAATAGATCTGTCATCTTCTTTTGTCATTTCTACAAAATGGATTTTGTTCTGAAGATAGGACCACATTTGCTTGTGCAAACCTGCCATGGATGTGAGCCTTGTTTCACCTGGTTTCCTCCAACAATCCGAGTGAAAAGGTTAAGGTAACTCCGTGGTTTTGGCTCTTGAACTTTCTGCCCACACTTCGGATCTGAGGAGCAAAATGGGAAAAGAAGAAAGGATTTAGTCTGGATTTAAGTTTTTCTGCTTTTTATTAACAGCATTGGAAGCCATGGCCTGGTACAGAGGTAAGTGCAGTCTCTCTGCCATCTTCTAAGTCCTAATAAAGACTGCACAGACTAAGGCTGAATTGGGCTAAGAAAAAGGCAGTGTACTCTATTTTGCAGAAGTTCTCCAAATGAGCACTTTTTTGTTCAGGTGTATCATAAATATTAAATTTTGCTTTCTATGATCAAATGCATGTGTATGTAAATACTACATTGGGGGAAATTTAGCATTCATAAACTTGGGACATTTTGTTGTTTTTCTGACAGATAGGTGGCTGCATTCAAGGGATGGAGGATCAATACCTGTATACACTGTCCTCTTTCACCTTTGCTCACTGTATCTTTGCACATGGGAAAAAGGTGGCTGCAGTGAAGATTAGGAAAGAATGAAAAAAATAAAACATATATATACATATATATATATATATTTACACATGTGTATTATTGCCTTGCCTGGCAGTTCACGTTTTGGATTTGACCAAAAGGAATTTGGTACTGGGTAAATGGGCAAAACTATATAAACTTTAAAAAGAAAAAAAATCAGATTCACAAACAAAAACTTTCCTTTTCTCTTTCAGTATTGAATAAGTCTATTCTCCTAACATATGCAAAGATTAGTTTAGAAGTTAAAAGTTAATATTTGTATTAATATTATACCAAACTTGTATTATCTGTATTTTGACAAACTCTGCACCTTGGCATTTGTAAGCCCCAGGGATTCCTGCCTGCTTTACAGACCCCTTCAGGACCAGTGGTGTTCACCGGCTGGATGAGAGATTTCCATGTACACTGCATCACATCTGTCTGCACAGCAGGATACTGAAGCCAGAGAACACCATTCTGCATAGTACTGTGCTTTGGACTGCTCAAGTGAGCAACTTCCTATGGCAGTTTAGATACCACACCTGTTTTGACAGCCAAAATAGAGTTTTTAGAATGAAAACAAGGGCTAAACCAAGACCTTCATTAACTTGCTGCAAACCTGAAAGCATTTCATTTTATTTAATTAATTATAAACCACATTTATTTACTGTTATTCATTCTGAGTCATCAAGGAATCAGACAAAAGTTTCATAACAATTATTCACTAAAAGATAACTTTCAGTTACAGACTTGGACCGGAACAAAAGCAAAGAATGAAAACCAGACCAATTATTCTACTGCTACCTTGTCTCTAGGTCTACAAGCCCATAGGGTCAAAAATTTAAGGGGTGAAACAAGCGCAGCTTCTTTATTTCAGCGCTGACTCCCATGCTTGTCACTGCCCAAGAACAGAACCGTTAGTACTTGGAAAGCTGCTACAGCTAGACGTGAAAATTGCATCCTACCTTTTGGAAGAGCAGACGGCACAGCACGACCCTCTGTAATAAAAACTATTGTCGTCAGGAGTAGCTGCAGCTTTCTGGGGACAATGCGCATCTTGGGGTGCCAAATGACTGAGTTAAAACAAGGAGAGTTTTTACAGGGGAAAAGCAGCCCAAATATTACACTGCAGGAGAACAGCAGCTAATTGAAGTTGAAGTTACTCATTAATCCATAAAGCACTTACCCGCACAAATAAGTTTTTCAAATTTAACGGAGCACGATTCCTTTATTCAGTAATTACTGAACTCTCTGCTGTAAAATACTAACTTAAACCCTTCCTAAAATGATTTTTTCCAGCCAAAATGACAAAATTAAGTTACTACTGCATACTTTGCTAGCAACACGTACCCAGGCTGATCTACTCATCAAAACAGAAGACGCATGAGCAGAACATCAAGCTTGATTTGCCCCCACGATTTCTACAGCTCTTGAAGGGGCAATACTTTATATTTCCTGCATGCTTTATATTTATCCAGTTTCACAGACCTGAGAAACATACTACAAGTTTATCTTCTTGTTGGCAGCATTCTCAGTGCTGTATGAGACAAAGATAGCTCTCTGCATCAGCGTGTCATATTTTTCCACAAGAGCAGTGCTTACACCCTATTTTTGAAAGGCAACTAAGGAGGACAGGGCTCAGCTTTACAAAAATATTTCAGTATTGCTGCAATCAGCAGCTCCAGTTCCGAGTCACTTTGATGGCTAAGCTCCCTTTTTAACAGTAATTTAGGTACCAGTCCCTTAGAAGGCTGTTCCAATCCTAAATAAGGAACATATCCGCAGCTGAATCAATATTAGAGATTTCACAAAACATAAAGCATAAGTTAAATTCTCCACTTAAAATTTTTGTCTCACCAAAAAGTTTAGCAGTTTTAGCAAGTATTGCCTGACTTGGAAATGAGTGAACTAAGTGGTAAATGCAATTAAAATGCTATCTGAAATATCTTAAATTCATATGAAATATGTAGGCACCAAGCAAGACATTAAAGTCATTAAGAGAAGCAACAGATTTACTTTGGATGACTGAAGCCACAAGTCCCATTTGTACCAGAAAGGGCATGGGATATTTATACCTGTGAACAAATAAATATTTACACAAGACAGGGAAAAACGTAGTTTATTTATGGGGTTTTTATCCTTGGCTTAACTGGTTGAGATCCCCAGCTTCCTGTCCATTTGTAAAAAATAATTCAATATTTCCACCTTCAATATTCCCACAAAACCCATAATTTTCACATGGGAAAGGCATCAAACTTTGAAGACAGAAACATGGGGTAATACATGCATGTTATTACAAATTTCAGTCTTGAACACCTGCATAGTCACAACTTACCAGAATTACATTTTTTCAAGATCCCAACAGGTAAATGCACAATATATATTCTTTTAAAATGAGTTGCAACAGTAATTAAACATTTTCTATTTTAGTGTTACCATCACAATGGACAAGACTCATGTTTTTTAATTCTGCTCAGGCTCCTAAAGAAAACAATCTTATACTTGACCCATTAGTCCCAGTCAGTTGAATATGTTCTATTATTTGGCCAAGGATTTCACAGTGCCCCCCAGTCCATCGTCAGTCAACATCCCAACAACCATTTATGTATTTATTCAGTTACAGGCTTTGTTGTTCTATTCCTCTGCCAGTCAGAGGATAACAAAATCCAGCTTTTACTTCAAACGTTCAGTTTCACAACTAACAACTGAATACAAACTCTGTCCTGAAAACTTTTGAGTTGCAGTTGTTATTTTCTGTTATAAATATATAGAACTTCCCAAGACTGCAGTTTTCCTGCTGGTCCTGTGGAGATCCCTAATTCTGCAACTTCTGAAAAACTTCATCACTAATGCATTCCAGCTCTAATTAAAAACTTTGAAGGCTGCTTTAATTCATTAATTCCTTCTTATTTTGCAGGGACATAACAAAACCCCAGACCCTCAAAATGAGTTCCACGTACAGCAGAGCTCTCTGATCACCCACCACAATGACATTCTTAGGAATTATGCCATCCAACAGGATGATATAAAAACAAGAATAAACCACCTCTGCAGTTAGAAGTGACACCGTGCAAACGTGACACCGTGCAAACTGCATCTGTCACATTACGAGTGAGAAATAGAAACATTTGGACCACTGACAAATGGAGAAACAATCAGTGCCTTTCACATTTATGACAGAGAGGCAGCACTTACTGTGCAGCAGTCGAAGAGGTCAGAAAGAGCACGTTCTGTACAACCTGCTCCTTACCTGGGATGGCAAAAGAGAAGCGCAGGCCTTCTTGCCCTACTCCTCTTTGTTCTCCTCTTTTGCTACCTGCGTATCTCTCTCCTGAAGCTGTTCTCTTTATCCTGTGTGCAGACAGAGGCACTGATGACTTTATCTACTTCTCCCACTGGAGAGCTGCTACTGCTCCCAAAATTCACAGCTTTGGCAGGCAGTGCAGCCAGCATCGTTCCTCAAAGGAAGGCAAAGGTCAGATCTTACGACTTGATCTCTGTCCACCCACATGCTCTGAATCTCAATGCAGAGCTGGCTTCATACTCCGTTAGTGTCCTGTACCTCTGTAGCAAGACAAATCAAAGCCATTAAACCACCAGGTGTCCAAAGTGACCATGTGCTTGAAATCTAGGCCTGATCCATGTTTGCAGAGCCAATCCCCAGCCCTGAAATAATGGCCTCTCCCTTTGTTCGTTGTGCACTTGATTTACAAGCATTTTATTCCCCAAAGTATGCTTGATGCTGTAGAAATACATACAGCTTCTTCTTCCTATGAGAAAAAGTAAACACTCATACATACAGATAAGTTTAAGACCAAGAGAAAGCAAAGAATATAGATAGTATTTACCATCACAACCTTCCAGAATGGTTGCTCAATACTTCTGGTTTTGAGGTGTTTTTAAAAGAGATTGAGTGCTGGTGGGAGGGAACATAGGCTGCTTTTCAGTAAAGGCTGGTGGACCACTGGAGCTGGCCAGACTGCAAGGTCTGAAAAAATGGTTTCTATTCTTGCTCAAGAAGTTGCTTCATGTTGCTCCTCCTGTCCAAGGAGGAAGAAAGGTAGAAAAATCATTCACATAATGACAATGTGGTGTTTAAGAAAAGAGGGAACAAGAAGTGAAGAACAGAGGGTGGGGAGGGTAAAACAAGCAGCAAATGCTGGTTAGTAATTAACCTGTTAGAAGATCAGTAGAAAAGGCGCATTTAAATTGGAGGTTTTTTGGGGTTTGGTTGTGGATTGGTTTTGGTTTATTTAAACACAATGAGCTGTGCTTTCAAGGGCCACTGATCACATTTGAACCTTTTGCAAGGTCACTGCTGGAAAACCGAAAAACTGGAAAACTATTTGCTCAATAAAATTAATAGTTTCATATTTTAAACAAGACATCATGTTTTGAAATTTAAATCTGATAAATCTTATCATTCATGTGTTACACTTATGAATCCAGTAGTTCTTAACTGAAAGCAGTTTTAGTTTTAATAGGGATTAAACATAGCTATGCTTTGACAGTTGTGTATGAATTTTGATTTTCCAACAAACTTATTTTTCATCAGTTTTAGCCTACTGTAATTCTACTGTCTTGTTTCAAATTATGCCCAAGTTTGATGAAGCAAGAAAATCAAGTTTAATTCTCAAGATAAGCCTACAATTGCCTACCATTTCTCCAAAATGAGACATTATGATACATATAAAAGAGATTGAATAGCACCAGCACAAAACTCACTTCAATTTTAATATGCTTAAAAGCTCGCCACCACCCACACATGCATTGAAAGAGGTTAACTTTTCATTCTGTTTTCAGCCAAAGCCTTCATGTTACTTCAGAGATCAATGTATTGAAAAGCTGAGGGAATTACCTCCTTGAAATTCTCAACTTCTAGAGTCAAAACATTAAATAAATCTCAACTCACTAACATGTTCTTCCTTCTCCCTCTCTACCAATACAGTCTCCCCTCAAAGCAGCATTGTGCTGTTTTTCTGTGTTACGCCTTCAGCTGGGAATTACGTGGTTGGCATTCGGGTAATTTTTGAGACCAGCAGAGGTCATCAATAAGTTCGCTTGACCTCATGCAAAAGACAAGCCACAGAATTTCACCTCAACATTCCCACATGAATCCTAGTTAAGCTAGTTTTATAGTTTAGGATTATAGCTAGGTTTGGGTAAACATTGCAAAAAAAGATCTGCAAACTAAGATTTTGCTGTAATAATGCTTACAATGCTATTAATTCATTTTCCAGAAAGAAGATTCATATCCATGATTTATCAGTCACCGGGACACTTTTTTGGAAGCAAAATTTCTGCCTGAAAAATGAAGCAAATAAATACTTATAACAAGGTCAGAGACAAAAGTTTCAAGCCAGTATAATTTTGAACCTATTTAATTTCCATCTGTTAATAAAACCAGTGCTGATGACTGATTGCTGCTATTCCAAGGACAAACAGTGACTGCTGAACACACACAAGGCAAGGGCTCCAAAAGTGATCCAAAAACCTGAAGTACATTCCCACAGTGCTTGTAGGTTCATCATAGCTTTAAACCAACCCAAGTTTAGGCTGTTACCAGGAGGGCAGCTGTGCCTCATCTCCCCTGAAAGTGCCTGTTGCCCCCGTGCTGGCCCCAGGGTGTGTGGGGAGCTGAATGCTCTGCTGTTTTGTGGAGCTGGATTGGCTTCTTGATCAAAGCAGTTGCTCAAAAATCAAATGCTAGTGCCAACTTGAAGGAGGAGGAATGAATGCGTGCACTTGACAGACCAGTCCATTCCTTCTGATCACAGCCTCCACTTCCAATTTAAAATGTCTAAAGCAACCATGAAACTTTAGCCAGACTTTTAGCAGCATAGCAGAAGTGAAAAGATACAGTCACATAGTAACTCCAGAGTTTAAATAGGAAAGTTGCTACCACCCCTGCACAACTTCTGTCCACTTCACATACTCCCAAGTATTAGTCAGCCTAATATATCAGATTCCCTTGGATGCAGATTACTTTCTGAGACTTCGTGTTTTTACCATTTTCTCCCCCGCAACCACTGTGTTCCCATCACAGCCCTCTGCAT